TAAACTACCGTTGTGCCACTGGGGGACTTGAAACTTTTAAAACACAGTGTCCTGAAATCCAAATTATATCTTTAACGGACCTAGAACATTACACGATTTTGTAAATGCAATCAAAACTTGTAGTTTTTGAAATATATTTTTTTGTTTTCGCTATTGTTTGTTGAATAACATACTTTACAATATTGTTTTCTTGATATTTTGCGTCAATGTCTAGAAATAAAGAAGAGCGAAGCGATTTTTTTGTTCTCAACATGCCTTCGTTTGTTTGTTGTTGTTTTTTTTTTCAATATAAACCTGTGTAGATTAATAACAGATTCACATAAACACAAAAAAACGTCGGCGAAAATTTGACTTTAGCTAGCATGTTTGGTTTTTAAAAGTTTTATAGTTTCATTAACAAAGTTGGTTAAGATATACAATTGGTATCTTCTTCATCAACTCACGAACAAAATTATCTTATACAATATGTATTTTGTTGACCAGCTGTTTGCTTTCTAAATGATCTTCGTATGTAAAGCGCCATCTAGTGGCTGTCATTTAAATTGTTTTAGTATAATTTTGACTGACAACTATTTTATAACTACATTAACAAACGAAAAGGCTAAACTTTGTACAAATGTTTTTAGAATATCGAAAAATAAAATAACTGTGGGTGTTTTTGAGGAACAAAAGTTTGTGAGGAGGATAAAAATCTTTTATTAAAAATTCGTAATTTTAATTTTTGCAACCAAAAAGAGAGGCATGAGTAGCGTTTATTAACAACCAGAGCGTGTTTGTTAAACTTCTCTCTGCCTTTTAAATCCGGGACTTTGTTGTATCTCTTGAAAATTTGTCAGAATGCAATTTATTTTATGAAAGAGAGAGAGAGGCACTTACGAATATACAATGACTTATGTTGGATCATTAGGAAATTAACAGTATAGAAGAGTTCAACAACCCCTTAAGTATCTACCATAAACCTACAACCGGTACTAAACCAAACAGCTGAATTTTGTCAGAAACATAAAATTAAAATAAATATACCAAAAACCAAATTAATACTTTTCTCGAAATCGATCAAAATACGCAGACACCCAACAGAATCATACAAACATCGAACTCCTCTACAAATTTCCACATCAGAAAATATCATAGGGTTAACCTATTGTTATGTATCTACTTTCACCTTGTCAGGATCAGTTCGCACACCATGCTCACTCACAATGTGACCTAAGTAAAGCACCTCTTTCTGGAACAAGTGGCATTTCTTGGGATGGAGTTTGAGGTTTGCTGCTTTCAAACGCTTGAATACTTCTCTAGCCGGGACATTTCCTCATCAAACGTTGTTGCAAACATGAAATCATCCATGTACACTAGGGCTATCCTCCATTGTAGGCCTTCCAATACTCGTTCTATCA